TTTTGCTTTTCTTTTTTTAGCTTCTTAAGATGGGAGCTGAGTTATTTTTAATTAAGACTTCTTTTTTTTAAAGCAGATGTATTTAAACCTATAACTTTCCTTCTCAGAACTGCCTTATTACCTGCTGTATTCATTTGCTAGGGCTACCATTACAAAGTACCACAGAATGGGTGGCTGTAAACAACAGAAATTTTTTCTTCACAATTCTGGAAGATAGAAGTCCAAGATCAAGGTTTCAGCAGGGTTGGTTTCTTCTGAGGCCTTTCTCCTTGGCTTGTAGCTGGTCATCTCCTCCCTGTGTCTTCACATGGTCTTCCCTCTGGAACTTTTTATGTCCAAATTTTCTCTTTTTCTTTTTTTTTTTTGACACGGAGTCTAGCTCTCACCCAGGCTGGAGTGCAATCTCGGCTCACTGCAAGCTCCGCCTCCCGGATTCCCGCCATTCTCCTGCCTCAGCCTCCCGAGTAGCTGGGACTACAGGCGCCCGCCACCACGCCCGGCTAGTTTTTTTGGTATTTTTTAGTGGAGATGGGGTTTCACCACGTTGGTCAAGATGGTCTTTATCTCCTGACCTTGTGATCCACCCGCCTCGGCCTCCCAAAGTGCTGGGATTATAGGCGTGAGCCACCGCGCCTGGCCAGAATTTTTTCTTATAATGACACCAGTTATATTGGATTAGGGCCCTTTCTAATGACCTCATTTTTACTTAGTTATCTCTTTAAAGACCTTGCCTCCAAAGACAGTGACATTCTAAGGTACTGGGGATTAGGATGTCAATATATGAATATGGGAGACAAGGAACAATTCAGCCTGGAACAGCTCCAAGTCACAAATTTGGTAAGTTGTGATATGTATTAATAGGTTTATTAGAATCACTGAGTTCAAAATATTTTCTCGTATCCCTTGGAATTTCTTCTTTGATTCATATCTCCTTTAGATAAGGGCTGCTTGATTTCTAATTATCAAGGTTTTAAAAAATATCTTATTTTTGCTTATTTCTGCTTTAGTTCCGTCTTGGGCAAATAATATACAGATGTTCCTTGACTTACAATGGGATTATGTCCCAATAAACCCATTGTAAACTGAAAATATTGTTTAAGTTGACAATGCATTTAATACACCTAACCAACCTGCTGCACATCAGAGCGTAACCTAGTCTGCCTTAAATTTGCTCAGAATACTTACATTAGCCTACAATTGGGCTTTCATGTGCCCACAGTGGTTGGGGCACAGCTTGGTTTTGTATATTTCAGGGAGGCATGAGACATCAATCAAATACACTTAAGAAATACATTAGTTTGGTTCAGAAAAGACAAAATCATCTGGCAACACGGTCCGCTATAGAGTATGGGTTGTTTACCTTCATGATTGTGTGGCTGACTTGGAGCTGTAGCTTGCTGCTGCTGCCCAGCATTGCAAGCCCTGGAAAAGATTAAAATTCCGAATTTGAAGTAGGGTTTTGAGTGTGCATGGTGCTTTATGCCTTGTATCCCAGTGCTTTGGCAGGCTGAGGCAGGAGGATCGCTTGAGGCCAGAAGTTCTAGACCAGCCTGGACAAACAGTGAGACCCCATCTCTATGAAAAAAAAAGAAAAAGCCAGGCATGGTGGCACATATCTGTAGCCACAGCTACTCTGGAGGCTGAGGCAAGAGGATTGCTTGGCCCAGGAAGTTGGGGCTGCAGTGAGCTGTGACTGTGCCACTGCATCCAGCCTTGGTGACAAAGTGAGACTACCTCTCAAAAAGTAAATGAAAAAGAAGTATGGTTTCTACTGAATGTGTATTGCTTTCACACCATTAAGACATCAAAAACTTGTGAGTAGAACCATTGTAAGTTGGGGACTGTACTCTTTCAATTTTAGTCCTTTGAAATTGGAGATTTGTTTTATATGCCTCAGTATTTCATCTACTTTGGTGAATGTTTTGTGTACACCTGTAAAGGACATGTATTCTGTAGTTGTTGGGTTTGGTGTTCTGTAAATGTCCGTTAGATCAATACTGTCCAGTAGTGTTTTCCAGATCATCCATTTCCTGACTTATTGTCAATTCACTTTTCCATTAACTGAGTGAGGTGTAATAAATTTTCTTAACTATGATTATGCATTGGTCCATGTCTCTTTTTCCTATTCTGTCATTTTTCTTCCTGTATTTTCTCAGTCCGTGGCTTGTCTTTTCATTGTCTTATCAGTGATGTAGAATAGGAGTCATGAAAGGGGGCATCCTTGCTTTTATTCCTAATCTTAGCAGGAAAGCATCTAGTTCCTCACCATTAAATGTAATGTCAGCTGTAGGCTCTGCATTCTCTCTCTTTTTTTTTTTTTTGAGACAGTCTCACTCTGTCCCTTAGGCTGGAGTGCAGTGGTGCGATCTCGGCGCACTGCAACCTCTACCTCCCGGGTTCCAGTGATTCTCCTGCCTCTGCCTCCCAAGTAGCTGGCTGCCCGCTACCATACCCGGCTAATTTTTGTATTTTTAGTAGAGACGGAGTTTCACCGTGTTGGCCAGGCTGGCCTCGAACTCCTGACCTCAAGTGATCCTCCTGCCTCAGCCTCTCAAAGTGCTGGGACAGCAGGCATGAGCCACTACACCTGGCCTGCACTTCATTTTTATTTAAGCGTAGCCACAATTATTTGCAGAGGACATTGGTTAGACCATTTTTAACCTAACTTATAAACAGTATAAATTGTATTGAACTTAATGTTTTTATGTTATCTATGATAACATTTTTAAAATGTTATCTATTATCTAATCATGTGCAGGTTTCCTCAGTTGCCTCAAAAATGTCTAAACAAGGTTCACACATTACAGTTGATTGGGGTCTCTCTTTTTTTCTTCTTTGAGATGGAGTCTTGCTCTGTTGCCCAGGCTGGAGTGCTATGGGGCGATCTCGGTTCGCTGCAACCTCCACCTCTCGGGTTCAAGTGATTCTTCTGCCTTAACCTCTGGAGTAGCTGGGATTATGGGTGCCCACCACCATACCCAGCAATTTTTTTGTATTTTTAATAGAGATGGGATTTCACCATGTTGACCAGGCTAGTCTTGAACTCCAGACCTCGTGATTCGCCCACCTCGGCCTCCTAAAGTGCTGGAATTACAGGTGTGAGCCACTGTTCCCGGCCAATTTTTGTATTTTTAGTAGAAACGGGGTTTCACCATCTTGGTCAGGCTTGTCTTGAACTTCTGACCTTGTGATCCATCCTTGGCCTCCCAAAGTGCTGGGATTATAGGCGTGAGCCATTACGCCTGGTCGATTGGTGTCTCCTTAATTCTCTTTTTATTCTGTAAGATCCATAAGAGCTCTTTCTATTGTATTTTTTCTACTGTATTTTTAATGCTATTCATTTGTTGAAAATGTTGCATTTTTAAAAAATTGCAAACATGTTAGTTCACATCACAGAACGTTTGTATCATTACTTAATGACCGTTCCCTCCATATCCAGAATATCATGATCATACTGTTGACAAAAAGAGTCAAACTCTGTAAAATATTTTTAGAGATTTATTCTGAGCCAAATATGAGTGGCCATGTCCCGTGACACAGCCCTCAGGCGATCCTGAGAACACCCAAGGTGGTCGGGCTACAGCTTGGTTTTGTATATTTTAGGGAGGCATGAAACGTCAATCAAATCTATCTACATTGGTTTGGTTCAGAAAGGCAGGACAACTCAAAGTAGTGGGGGCAGATTCCAGGCTATAGGTAAATTTAAACATTTTCTGGTTGACAGTTGACAATTGGTTGAGTTTATCTGAAGACCTGAGATCAACAGAAAGGAAATGTTCAGGTTAAGATAAAGGATTGTGGAGACCAAGTTTTACTGTGCAGAGGAAGCTCTCAGATAGCAGACTTCAGAGAAAGCAGGTTGTAAAATATTTCTTATCAGACTTAAAAGGGTGCCTGGCTCTTAGTTGATTATCTCTTGTATCTGGGAAGGAAGGAAGGCAAACAAAGGGGAAAAGGGATTCTCTATAGAATGTGGATTTTTCCCACAGGGGACTTTGTAGGGCAATTTCAAGGTATGGCAAGGAAATGTATTTTGGGGTAAGACATTTTGATTTTCTTCCTTGTTATGCCACAGTCAGATTGGAAAGTAAGTCATGATATACAGGGTTAAATAAAACTCATCAGATGAGAATTTATGGTTTGTAGGGCACGAATCCCCAGGCCTCTTAGGTAGGAATTTGGGCAAGATAAAAAAAAAAATCAGAGCTTTGTCCTCAAAACCTAACACTATTAACAATAATTCTCATCACATATTGAATTGTCTCTTGCAGTCCGCTTTTCTCATTCATTTGTGCAAGACAGGATCTAGTCAAGACCTATGCTTGTCATCTGAAGAATGATTTATCTCTTAAGAAATATTTTCATTAAGAAAAAAATCTACCCCTACTTCTCCCTTCTTAAAAATCTCTTCATGAAATTGACTTGTTATAAAACTAGGTCAATTACTGACTGCCTGTTCCTAAATTCCAAGTCACATTTCAAATTTCGGTACCTAATTTTTGATACGTGAGTGGAGGGAAGGGTGCAGCCAGGGTCATATAGGATACTCAGGTTATGGCCTCCACCCTGCTTCATGTCTCCCTCAAAATCGGGAACTTCTGCTTTGGACTTCCTGGAACCTGTCCTTTGGCCTCAGGGTAAATGTGGATGGGATGCTTTTGTTTTCAGTATGTTGAGGCTTTTTATTTTTCAACATGCATGCTCATTTGAGGGCACTCTGAGGCCTTTTTCTTTTAATGGAATCCACACAAAGTCTCAGCCAGCTGCTGGAAGATGGGGGCTCCATTCCCCAACTAGAGTTTGGATGTGAACCTGTTGCTGGCTCAGCTCTGTGGGCTTTATTTGAAAGACACTGGCTAAGAATGGGCTTCACTAATGCCCTCTGCAACCTGCCTTTGTTGCTTCCCTGTTCCCCTACTCCCTGCTGAATTGGGAGGCTGGACAGCGTGTGAAGGGTGTTCTTCCCAAGTACCTCTCTCACTTCTTATCTCTTTCCTCAGATTTGCCTCTGTGACTTGCCTCTCCTCTAGGAAGAGCACTCCAGAGAGCAGGGAGATGGCGCCAGGACTCCTGACAACCAGGGAGGAGGTAAGTCCTGAAATTTCTTCCTAGCTGTTGCAGGAAGGATTCATAATAGTTTCTTGTCCTGAAGGCTGCCTTCTTGGTATTAGGCAAAGCCTATCTTGATCTTATAGGTGTGACTCTTCTTATCTGGGGCTTTCTCTCAGTTTTATTTGCTACATTTATGACTCAGGTATTTACCAAGGAGTTAACTGTGACCATCACATCCTGGGCAGTTAAAATAAAAATACAGGACATCCATGCTTACGTGCCCAGTGACTCCGAAGGCCTACAAAAGTATAGTGGCTCACACCTGTAAACCCAGTAGTTTGGGAGGCCAAGGTGGGCAGATCACCTGAGGTCAGGAGTTCGAGAGCAGCCTGGCCAACATGGTAAAACCCCGTCTCTACTAAAAGTACAAAATTAGCTGGGCGTGGTGGTGGGCGCCTGTAATCCCAGCTACTAGGGAGGCTGAGGCAGGAGAATCACTTGAACCCAGGAGGCTGAGGTTGCAGTGAGCCGAGATCACGCCACTGCACTCCAGCCTGGATAATAGAGTGAGATGCCATCTCAAAAAAAAAAAAAAGTATAAGAAGGCTCTCAAAAGACAAATTGTCTGATTTGCCCCTGAAGGGTTTTGCAAGCTGAAGAGTTAAGGGAAGAGACTGCTGTGAAAATGGCACAGGACAGTGGCGCATGCCTGTAATCCCAGATACTGAGGAGGTTAAAGCAATAGAATCGCTTGAGCTCGGAAGGCGGAGGTTGCAGTGAGCTGAGATTGCGCCATTGCACTCTAACCTGGGTGACCGAGTGAGACTCCATTGCAAAAAAAAAAAAAAAAAAAAAAAACGGAAGGAAAATGGGGCAGGAATCCTATCCCTTCTCAGAGACGAGGTGACTGGCAGGCTATCCCTCACCCTGTGGGAAGCTTTCAACAGCCGGTGGTCTTTGGCCACATTAGTCTTCTGTGTATAGGTGAAGGCTCTAATCTGCTATTTCTGTGTGGTGCATGGATAGATTTAGTTTTGCAGGCCTGTACTTTATAAAGTGGGTTTGCTATACTTGAAAATTGGAAGATTATGCTTAAAGGTCCAGATTGCCTCCTTCTCTGAAAATAGATTATTCCCCACCGGCTAGGCAGCATTTGAACTTGATGTAACTGAATGGAATGAACACTGACAACAGAAATGGCTGTCAGGCAGGGCATTTTTGTATTGATTTTATCAATTAACAAAATATTTATTGTCATTTTTGCTAATTCAGTTTTGCTTTGTGCTATAAATATGTCAAGTGTAGAATGTTTTTGAGAGATCTGTATGCAATCATATTCCGGGGCTCATGGTGGATATTTGCATGTTTCTGGATACATTAAAAATGGTTTTGATTTTATCAGACTGTCACTGAGAGCTGTGAGTCCCTTATTTGTTACACTTTTGAGAGAAATCTGTAACACCTTTGAGAGAAAATATGTATGTAGCACAGGCAGTTCAGGATTTTTTTCCAAGGTAATAGGAGACTTTTTTCTTCTGTATGTTGCACTTTACTGTGTATATTAACAGAGAAACATTCTTGCCAAACATGGAATACTGGCTTATGTTTTCTGTCCTTACTCTTTCACTTCCTGTGGAATCTTTAGCAGACCCTAAACCTTATCTGTCTGTGACCAACTTCTCTCAATATACATTTTTGTTTGTTTGTTTTAGCCATTTCTTTGTGTTAGAAACAAAATGCTTGTTCCTCAGTGCTGGAAAGAAATAGCACTCAAATGTAAATTTGATTTTCTCAGCAAGGCAATTTTTACTTCTATACAAGGGTACATCTCGCGAATGGAGTAGTGGTGAGAGCACACCTGGACAAGGGAGGGGAAGGGGTTCTTATTCCTGACGCAGGTAGCCCCTACTGCTGTGTTGTTCCCCTGTTGGCTAGGGTTGGACTGCGCAGTCTAAGCTATTTCCAATTCACTATTTTAAAGAGAGCAGGGGTACCAGCCAGAGTGATTGGGTGGGTAGTTTGGCGGGAAGGGCAGTTACTCAGGATGAATCAGGCCAGAGCAGGTGACCAGGGGTGACTCAGGTCAAAGCAGGTGACCAGGGAAACAGATGTGAACTACTGATTATAACTAGTGGGAAAGTTGTTTACTGAAACTAGAGGCAAGGGGGCGAAGAGAACCAGGAAGTTAAACTTTAAAATGGAGAATCAAAGAATAAGAGAGCTGAACATACTGACATACTGATTCTGTGAAGAGAAACTTGGAGTTCACTATATCTAACATTTGTGAAAATTTGATGAAAAGATATAAGCATCTAAGAGGCTTAGCTTTTTAAGACAAAGCTTCCGTACCTAGAATAGTGTCTCTTAGTCAAAAACTACTCATTGCATAAAGGGAAAGAGGTTTGTTTGTTATGATGCATGTTATTTTAAGCATTGAAATTATGTATTTTATGATTTTTAAAATTGCATTTCCTGGTACTTTGTTATGCATCAGATCTGAATTATGTAGAAGAACCTGACCTATATGTAACGTGACATTTAGGCATTTTTCCTAAGGGCTTTTGCCTGAGAGGAGAAATTGTAACAGGCATTATAGTTGTAACACAGAAAGGGAGCTGGTAAGCACAGTATGTGAGCTAATAAGAAACTAATTAGCACCCTGCGAACCCAGAAAACCTGAGACAGGTCTCAGTTAATTTAGAAAGTTTATTTTGCCAAGGTTGAGGATTGTCAATGAAAAGAGTCAAACTATGTAAAATATTTTTAGAGTTTTCTGAAACAAATATGTGTGACCGTGGCCCATAACACAGCCCTCAGGAGGTCCTGAGAACATGTGCCCAGGGTGGTCGGTGTACAGCTTGGTTTTATGTACTTTAGGGAGACATGAGACATCAATCAGATACACTTAAGAAATACATTGGTTTGGTTCAGAAAGGCTGGACAACTCAAAGCAGGGGTTTCCAGGCTGTAGGTAAATTTAAACATTTTCTGGTTGACAGTTGGTTGAGTTTATCTAAAGACCTGGGATCAATAGAAAGGAAAGTTCAGGTTACGATAAAGGATTGTGGAGACCAAGTTTTGTTGTGCAGAAGAAGCTCTCAGATAGCAGACTTCAGAGAGGAAGCAGGTTGTAAAATGTTTCTTATGGGACCTAAAAGGGTGCCTGGCTCTTAGTTGATTATCTCCTGGATCTGGGAAGGAAGAAAGAGAGGTAAACAGAGGGGAAGGGGATTCTCTATAGGATGTGGATTTTTCCCATAAGAGACTTTGCAGAGCAATTGTAAGGTATGGCGAGGAAATATATTTTGGGGTTAAATATTTTGATTTTCTTCCTTGTCTCATAATGTTATGCCAGAGTCAGATTGGAAAGTAAGCCACGATATATAGAGTTAAATAAAACCCATCTGATGAGAATGTATGGTTTGTAGGGCATGAGTCCCCAGACCCCTTAGATAGGAATATGAGCAAGATAAAAAGAATCAGAACTTAGTTCTCAGGATGCTCCCATGACAGCCTCAGGAAGTCCTGACAACATGTGCCCAAGGCGGTTGGGATACATGTTAGTTTTATACATTTTAGGGAGACCTGAGACATCAATCAATGTATGTAAGAAGTATATTGGTTCAGTCTGGAAAGGTGGAACAACTTGAAGCAAGGGCTGGAAGACTTGAAGGGGGGTTCCAGGTTATAGATAGGTGACAGGGACGGTTACATTCTTTTGAGTTTCTGATTAGCCTCTCCAAGCTAGGCAATCGGATATGCATCTATGTCAGTGAGCAGAGAGGTGACTTTGAATAGAATGGGAGGCAGGTTGGCCCTAAGCAGTTCCCAGCTTGACTTTTCCCTTTAGTTTAGTAATTTGGGGGCCCCAAGATTTATTTTCCTTTCATAACCCCTTCATTGAATCTTAAATCTTTTTAAAATGTTTGTTTTGTGCAGGAGACTTTGTTGGTTTAGGAACAATGATACCTACAGCATAGCATCAATTTGTATAAGATATTTGGTTTGTTTAGGGGTTCACTCCGCATTGGAATTAAAACTTAAAAAAATTTTTTTGTTGAGATATAATTCACATACCATACAACCCAACCATTTAAAATGTACTATTCAGAAGATTTTATTATATTAACAAAATTGAGTGACCTTCACCATCATGTTTTCATCACTGCCAAAAGAAACCTCATACCCATTAGGAGTTATTCCCCATATGCTCCTCTCCCAGCCCCTCCCACTGATCTGCTTTTTGTCCTATGGATTTACCTCTTCTAGATATTTTATATACATGAGGTCATACAATTTAACAAAAACGAAACATGTATCATAAAAAATTACAGAGTAAGGGCTGGGCGTGTTGACTCATGCCTGTAATCCCAGCTTTTTAGGAGGTTGAGGCGGTTGGATCGTTTGGTCTGGGGATTGGGAGGTTGCTGTGTGCTGCGGTTGCGCTCTTTCTCTCTAACCTTTGTGACCGTTTGCTGGTTGTTTTGGCATGCACCTGTAGTCCCAGCTACTGGGGGGGCTGTGGGGGGGGAATTGTTTGCCTTCTGGGGGTGGAGGTTGCTGTGAGGCTATCTCTTGCCCTTTTGGTCGCTTTTGGGCGCCGGTGGTCTTTTGCGTCTTTAGTTTTCTGTGTATATGTGTAGGTTTTGATTTGGTATTTCTGTGTGTTTGTTGTTTCGCTTTGGTTTTGCTGGGCTGTCCTTTATTGTGTGGGTTTGCTTTTGTTGAATTTTGGAATCTTATGCTTACTGGTGGAGTTTGTGTCGTTCTCTGCTGCTGGTTTGTTGTGCGGGTGTTCTGTAGCATTTGAGCTTGCTTTGCTTGCGTGGAGTTGCCTCTGTCCCCCGTGTTGGTTGTGAGGCCGGGGCTTTTTGTCTTTATTTTATCTTTTTTCATAATCTTTAAGAACCAAGGAAACCATGGACATGGAACTAGAGTATATGAAGTCAACAATTTTCAACAGAGAATATCAGTATAGAAAACTTATTTTAAAAGGTATACTATGAGGCTGGGTGCAGTGACTCACACCTGTAATC